CTCTCTCTCTCTCTCTCTCTCTCTCTCTCTCTCTCTCTCTCTCTCTCTATCTATCTATCTATCTATCTATCTATCTATCTATCTATCTATCTCCCCCTCCCTTCCTGACCTTGCCCCCGCTTCATGATGTTTATCAAACAAATAGTAGGTAGGCCTCTAAATGGTTCCTTCTGAAGTGAGAGGAAAAAAGGAGGGGACTCCTTGCCTCAGGGCAAAGGCCTGGCCGACTGGCCACTCTCCAGAAAAGTCCGGAACATCATCAAATATGAATGCAGCTGCAAAGTGAGTGCAGACACGCATCACACAGAAATGAAAGCAGAAATAATGGAAAACCAAAGTCCGCATGTGGCTTGTCGTGAAGAAGGGCTGAGTGGCCCTCTACAGAAAGGAACCGGGCTGGCATATCCCAGTATGGCCCCCAGACTACCATCTTCACCCGAATAGAACCCCCGGTCATTAAGCCTGATGATTAAGGTGTATTTGGGGCAACTTTCAGTCCAGATGCAGCTAGAATAACCGGGTGCTCTATTCAGGTGACAGGGGCCCCAGAATGCACCAAGCACTTTTCTATTTCCTTTTTTCACTTCTAACTAAGCTATATTCTTCTCTCAGATATACCTCACACTACCTACCTATATATGACTAAAGCCAGCCAAGGTCTACAATGTACAGGGAGCAGTTCCGCACCCCAGTTCCTACCCTTCCCAGCGAGGGATGGCAGGGGCAAAGGACTCTAATAAGAGAACCCAGGCCCCTACCAAGACCGACAAAGGACGGGGGAGCGGGGGGGGGGCGGTGGGAAGCGAACAATCTCAGCCGGTGAACACCAAGCACGCTGTGGGCGGCCGTGGGGAATTGAACCCGGGACCTCTTGAATGCCACTTGCATGCGAAACCAACTGAGCTCAACCACTTTATTTCCGTCATCTCTCTCACAAGTATTTCATGCTTCTCCACAGAGTCGACCCATCTTTGTCACTTAAAAATTTCTAAGTTTTCTCAGATGCAATGACGTTTGTTGCCAGCACCTCTATCCAACTGCCTTTAGTGTCTCCCGATATAGGTCCTGATGCTCTGAACTTCATTTTCACTCGACTACATCTTTACTTGGTATTTTTTATCACATTCAACGAATCATCTTTGGCCAACAATGTGTTCATGTGTCCCGCCCCCGAAAAAAGACAGAAAGAAACGCATTCGTGTGTCCCAAGAAAACAAACAAAAACAAAAACAAGTGTTCATGAATCATGCGCCTATTTCCAGCGAGAGAGTACAGAGAACTCTGCAAACTTCCTCGTTGCTGAACACGAGCCTCGGTTCTCTCTTTCTTCTTCTAACAAAAAGCTTGCGTGTGTGTGGCAAAAGGCCGACTGTTTTTTTTTTTTTTTTCCACGTGACCAGTTCGTTTGTGTTCACTGCCAGGAATTCCTTCTGGACACTCAAATTGCCCTTTTTTTTTTCTTAAGTCGGTTAGCCCCTAGTATTTTTTGTATCCACCTTTGAATTTAGGAGGTAGAACGTATGATCTGATTATCAACACCCACGTGAGTGGACCCCATTCAGCTCAGCCACAAGGCTGGGGTATGTTAGAATTGCGAACTGAAGATTCTTTAAAAGGTTGACCTTGCGTACTTACGTTTCCCGGTCATTATGTGAGTCCCAGGGGAGGAAGTGGCAGATGATAGCCCTGGTGGTGACTCCCTAGGCCGCTCTGTACAGTGTCTCGAGCGGCAGAGGGAAAAAGGCGAGAGAGCCTCTTTCTCTTCTAAGTACTTGTACTTGATTTCTGCTTGTCAGTGATAAGCAACCGGAGTGGCAGTGCACACAAACGGTGGATGGCTGTTTACTGACTGGTCGGCAGACCACCGACCTGTCGGCCCTACCGGTTGGCTGCAAAACGGTCGGCGGCCGGGGTAGGCGGTCGGCGGGTATGCAACCCTGTATCAATGTGTAATCAACGTGTAATCATCAATGGTAATCAATGTGTAATCGACGTGCAATCATCAGTGGGTAATCAACGTGCAATCAGCGCTGTGTAATCAACGTAGAACTAATGAGTACTGTCATCCTTGGTTTTATCAATCCATCAGGTACCACATTGATTACGAGGATGTGCTTGATGAGGCCCCTGCTGCAGACCCGATAAGAGAATTCACCAAGAAGGGAATTGACGGGGCAGATGCGAGTGGAGGTGGGGGACCACAGAGTGGCAACCTCAGCGGTGCAACAGCTGGTACAAATGCACAGGTGGAGGGTGAAGAAGCAGAAGAGAAACAGTTTGGCAGAAAAGGAGGAGAGATGGCTGTATTGGGGCTGCATCAGGCTATAGTGACCAGCATCCTTCGATCAGGCATGATGATTCGCCCGTATACCATTGTGTTCTCCCTGGCTCCTTTGATATGGTGACCTTTTCACCCAAGTCTGAGCTCGATTACCCCATCTTTCAATGCATTCCCCTTTTGGAATCTTCCCCTGAAAAGAATCCCTTTCACCAACGGAGAGAGAGAGAGAGAGAGAGAGAGAGAGAGAGAGAGAGAGAGAGAGAGAGAGAGAGCATTTGCACAAAAGAAAAAAGGGGAGAGAGCATTTGCGAGCAGTTAACGCGAGGAAAGTTTGGCAGCAATTGCGGAGTGTGTTCTTTTTCCCTTTTCTTCTTCCTCTTTTTAAAAGGGCATCGATCCAGACTCCAGACCTTACTGTAACCATCTGATTCGCAATCGGGGCTCGATCCCATTCTGTTTGTTTATCAACAGTTGCATCTGTGTACTACTCAGCCACATCGGCTGAGTACATTGCACAGTCTTCTAATGTAATTAGTTCCTGAGAATCGGACACGTCTGACCATAAAGTCAAGTAATTACAGCAGAAAATTGACCGACTCGATCTCGCCACCGCCGCCAGTCTCCCACTGCTTGGAAAAGTGCCACTGCATGTCAAAATCATCCTCTGCCAAACGATTGGAACGGCAGTTTGTGAGCAAGAAGTACCTAGTAGGGGCCCACCCCCGTTTTGGGGGAAAAAAAAAATGCAAGAAGTCTTAAGCAGAAGATAGGTTAGAAGGATAAAGTCTGCCTTTTTCGCTGTTTTTCCTATTTGTTTATCGAGCTTTTGCTTTGTTTGGGAAGTAGCATTTTGAATTGGGCTGTGCAAGGAACATGAGTATGAACGAAGCACAGAAATCCAGAATGCAAAATCACACTGAAGTCCAAGTAGTCAAAGCCAAAGCAGATAGCACATGGAACCGAGT